TGGATAGATGACTGACTGGATAGATGACTGACTGGATAGACGACTGACTGGATCAATGACTGACTGTCCTTTCTTCTTGCACAATCAACGGCTCCGATGCGTGGGACGGGGTCGCGCAGTTGTCATGGCAACAGAGGTCAACACGGCGGAATATCGCTGTCATTATGATGGTCGGATAAGATCCTTTATGCTAAAAACTTGATTCATCTGCCTTTGCGAAGCAAACATTTACACAGTAGCTTCACAGAATGCTTTTTGTTGTTTTGTTATCATCCTTTCAAAAGTTTTCCCTAATTTGTCTGCAGTTCGTGCAGATTAAGTGTTCATTATTAGTAGGCCCAGGAGACGCCTTGCCTCGCCTCTCTTTTCCTAGATTCCCTGCCGGACTGAGTCGGGCCGCCCAGGCGTGATGAGGGGTGGTGGGGGGGGGGTGCTCTGACCTCGCAGTCCTGAAGGTCATTCATCATCAGCCAATATTACTCCACTGCTGCATTAGGGTAGCGTTACCACCTGCCTGGCCGAGATCTGGTGCTGATATTGTGTTGCAACTTCATGATAAGATATCGTTTTCGTTGCCATTTTATGACAAGATATGCACTGCGCGGTTGTGATTGGCCTGGGAAGACTGCGGATTTAACTAACTAAACTATTCACAATTTTTTTTAATTTTAATAGGTAAAGCCCACTGAGCTGCACAGCTCTTTTTCAGAAGCGACCTGGTCACAAATGACAGCTCAACGAAGTGGCTGATCATGTGGAAATTTATAGGAACCAAATACTCTCAACGCATGTTTCTAAATGTGGAGGGAAAAACCGGAGGACCCGCAGAAAAATCCACGCGACCACGGGGATAACAAGCAAACTCCAAATATACAGCAGCAGGCATCAGGGTCGGGGTCGAACCCACGACCTCCTGCATACCAGGCGAGGGGGTTAACATCTCGCCACCGTGAGTTTGGCCGTGGCAAGCTTGGATTAAGACCTTCCCAAGTCGCGTCGGTCACAGCGATTGTCGTTGAAGGAGGGTAAGCCTAGAACCCGTTCACATATCTCTCGCCGCTGACGTTAGCCGTGGCCGGGAATCGAACTCGGGACCCACCGGCGGGAGTTGTGGCACCAGTGCGCCCACCACTGCCCCACCGCTCCACGCCTCGATGAAGCAAATATTGAAGAAGACAATTACTGCCTCGGCTTTTACAGCCACCGCTTTGTGTTTACAGCGCGCAGCCGATATAGTCTGTGGCTGTCGAGAGATAAATCATTGGAGGCCACTGTCATTTGTTTTACACCGCCCTGCCACTGCAACTTTGCAAATACTTTTGGGTCAATATTTAATCACGATCTGCCTCTGCGAAAACTCTAGGGCAGTGGTTACCAAACCCCGGTAAGCGTACCACGGCTTGGCAACTGGCGGCAACGTGAGGTTTGCAATTGGTTATCCCCATTTGGGCTAACAATGACTCAACGTTGAGATGTATAGTTGCATGTGCGTTTGTAGATGTGCATGCAATCATAAGTTGAGGCAGTCGCCCTCCAACAGCAACGGAGCGACGCTCACAACAACAAGCAGAGCGCAGCTAAAATGCAGCGAGTTGGCAAAGTAGGGGGTACAGCTGATGCATCTGCCAGTCATCTCAGTCAGTCAACACATGGGCACATGGGTCTGTGCTGTGACCTGCTAGCGAGCCTTCGACACTTCACGTGGCCTCAAAGTGCACCTGGCCTGGCACGGGTACCGTGGTGACGCCATCGTCACTGAGTGGCGAATGGACGGCATTGTATTGTTGTATTGTATTGTTGTATTGTATTGTTGTATTGTATTGTTGTGTTGTATTGTTGTATTGCATTGTTGTATTGCATTGTATTGTATTGCATTGTTGTGTTGTATTGTTGTATTGCATTGTTGTATTGTATTGTTGTATTGTATTGTTGTATTGTATTGTTGTATTGTATTGTTGTATTGTATTGTTGTATTGTATTGTTGTGTTGTATTGTTGTATTGCATTGTTGTATTGCATTGTTGTATTGTATTGTTGTATTGTATTGTATTGTTGTATTGTATTGTTGTATTGTATTGAAATCATAAGTTAATAATTTTGATGTAGTGCAGTGGTTGTTAACCTAGGGTTCACGCACCCCCTGGGGGTGTGAGACATGGCCAGATTTTTTTAGAAGGTAAATCATTGAAAGACAAATTAAGCATAAACACGTAGGTACGACTAGTTTGTTTCATCAAACCTACGTATTTCTTCACATATAGTTTTTTTTTTACAATTGAGAACCAAAGGGGTGCAAGGCTTCAGTAAAGGTTAAGAACCACTGACGTAGTATATATTGTAACTGATATGGACCAGCTCGGCCGGAATATGCACGATCCCAACAGATCTTGGAAGGCTCTCATCCAGTTCTGGATTGAAGTGGGGCTTTACACGAGCGAGCACAGTTTGGGAGCCACTGGTGGTGAGAATTCTCTCCACCGTGATTTCCAAAACCCCGCTCCTCACTTTGGCACAGAGTATGTCCTTACATTCGCAGCATGCACGTGTAATTATTCATTTGTTAATTCACATTCGGGTGTAGAATGTTTGGAGAATGTGAAGAGACGAACCTAGGAAGATAATAAAATTTGTTATTTCAGGAAAGCGTTCATACAGTAGTGGATGGATTATGACTGATGAGATGATGCCAATGATTTTGTTTTCAGGAGGATCTTGCGTTTGGGATGGCAGCCAATTGCATGCCCTGATAATCGCGAACTTCGGCAACATTTTCAGCATAGATGTTGATGCAACACAACATTGATGTCTGACTTCTCTTTTCACACATCACGTCACGGATTCTACAAAGCACGAGTTCAGCTGAGGCTGAAATAACGTCACTTCATGGGTGGAGCTCTTAGTTCCTACATGACTCAGCACGATGTGGTTCAACATAAATCACTTTGGTTGATTGATGATCCAGCAGTCACTGATTTTGTCCAGTCACTGGCCCTCGACCAGCCACTTCCGTGTCACTCTTCTACCGCTACTATCATAGTCATTGTTCCCATGAACTTTCACACCCTGACACCTTCGCCAATATTGAGGATCCATTCAAGCAAATTGTCCGTTATCATCCATACTTTGTTCAACCTGTGTTCAATGACTGTGCTGTGTACATATGTTGCCAGTGCAACATATCAGCCCTATTGCTTCCTTACACTGATCGACTTAAGAATAAGCCCCCCCCCCCCATTGTCTTACTGTGAATTCTGATGGACCAGCAGCACCCTCAACAAAGGGTTGTAGACACCCAACCCAATGCCACGATTGCGCCATCGTAAGCGGGACACTAAAAACGACGAGAAGCTTGTCGACTTGTCGGCTAATTCTGCCGGACACATCTCCTGGCAAAGAATTCCAAGCGACAGCGTCTCACGCGCGTGTATGTACACCCACGCTATGGCCAAACTGAACTAATGGAATTCAAGAGGACCTTCAGAATCTCCGGAAGTCTGTACAGCTTCGCAACCCGGCCCTGTGATCAAGCACAAGCCCTCAAAGCGCCCTCATTCAATCCCGAAACTTGGTGGAGATCAACCTGAGACATTGCAAATGTCCCGAACGAGCACTTAAATTGCTGACCCCACAGGAGACCCTGCTTTCAGTTTTCCCCATAATTAATGGATCCTAGATTATTAACGGAATACTGTATAGGAAACGTGAGCTGGGTTTCAAACAGTACGGTAAAACTTCAGAGACATAATAGTGCAACTGCCCGCTCCAATCATTCGCCAGTCGCGTTTCAGATATTCACTTCGAGGCTATTCCCGAAGTTGTTCGTCCGCTGGCTCACTTACTAACCTCGACATGAACACATCCACATTACCAGCCAACTCCTTGCCATACGAAAGAAAGCAATCGTGAGTACGGTCATATTTCTGTCTGTGGAACTCGCTTTCCTACATCTTTTCCCAAGTTCCAATAACCTTGCCAATGTCTATAAAAGTTTAGTTTGTTTATGTGCCTGGCTATATCAGTGGTCTTCATTGCTGGTCACCATGCATTACAGACTCGGGTCTCGAGTCATAATCTGAGACAAAACACGGAGCGGGCCACATGCCAGACAAAGTCAATCCCATCTTTACGGCTGTATGAACGCACGCGTGGGTAAATTAACTAACGAGTAGAAAATATTTGATATCTTATAAAAGAAAAGTAAAAGTGATTTCCTGTTCAAAAGGGCATTGAGGCAGTGCTCATCTGTTCACAGCACTGAGCTAGGAGTGGAAATTCCACTTTCCCATGACGAGGGCGAGTCTATTCATAGGAGAACCCCGTAAAGCGGTGCTCACTTTATTGACCCTGGAAGAATGGTGGGACCCGAGTCAAATAAGTTCATGAAGCAGAATACTTTTTTTTTGTCAGTACAGAACATCTCTCTTTTTTAAACAAATTTATTGTAAATGTGGGTACATTCAATGCGCTCAATTACAAACGTGGCCTTAAATAAAAAATACTCGCGTATAAAACCAGTCCTCCATTCCATTTTCACAGCCTTACATAATGACTTATATATTTTATCATCGAAGTAGAAAGGATAGTCTTCATTTTTCGATTTAAAGCTTTCGTGACTGCAGGGATTCATCTTCTTGGTTCTTTCGGTAAAGTCACGTAGAAGGGAAGTAATAAAATAATAAAAATTAAACATAATAAAATAATATATGCTCCAAGCTCGTGTGCTGCTTCATTCAGACTCTGTCGCCTCGACGGACCTGGTTTTCACCTGAGGACGGCTGCTTGCGTTGTGGCCGAAACGTCGTGTAAATTATTTTATTATGTTTAATTTTTATTATTTTATTACTTCCCTTCTACGTGACTTTACCGAAAGAACGAAGAAGATAGTCTTCATATCATTTTAATAATTTACAGGCCATGTGAATACGCTGCTGAATGAGGGCCTCCTCATACTTTGCTGGTTACGCGGGGGGGGGGGGGGGGTATTGTTTGACCATACTTCACCATACTCGTCAGTGCGTGTCGGTGTAAGGTTGGAGCGCCCCAGGCCTGGTTGAGTTCTCGCTCGCCGTTGATTTTTTGTTACTTTAACCTTTGGCTTTGAATCGAACTCAGGGTGGCTGGATTTAGAGCGCGTCTCGTTCACCACCACTATTTGATGCAAGAAAAAAAGAGTTTTATTTGTTACAAAACATATTCCCTTAATGCATTACAATAATGCATGAAAGTGCAACGTCAACAATTCTTGTAAACATCTCTCCCAAACACAGACCAAGCCGTACAATTTATCTGTAAAATCAGTCGCAATATAAAACCTTACGATCCATTGCAGCCTTCGCCAGTTCTTGTTAACCCACGTGGGTGCCAAACAATGGCTTGCGTCCCTTGTAAGCCAATGCTTACATCTCACAATAACAACACAAAACATTAAGTAAAATAAAACACTGATATGATAAAAAGAACGAGCAGTGAGATCCGTCTTCAGTTCGTTTCTCTGTATTATTATTTTATTATTGGTCAGTCTTTCTTTTAATGAGAATATGTCTTTTATAAAAAATATATGTGGACCATAAACAATAGATAATAATGGGATCTTGCTAAACTCTTACGAGCTCTCGTAAGATCGTGCAAAAGTCTGGGCTGCACCGAGCCTCTCTTGTGCCGCTAAATGGCAGCTTTCCTTACTTTTTGTGAGCTTTGTTTAGTTTGGTTCAGTTCACTTTAAAACAGAAATGTCTTATTTTACAGACACTGGCTTTTTTCACGATTCCACGCAATCCAGGCAGCATTTATTTGTTTAAAAGACAGGGCTCGTGTCCACTCCCCCCCCTCTCATGTCCACATTCACGGCCACTCCCAGTGCCACTCCGCCAGTCGCGTTATAAAAATTGGTAAAAAAAAAAATGCAACGCTTGAAAAAGTCACGTGATCGCCGGTGTGGAAGGCCGGGGTGAGAACGCAGGTCCAAGCCGCGTGGTCTCTGCTCATTCTTCCGATTCTGGTGCCGCCAATGATGATGAAGATACTGCATAGACTGTCATCTCTGGATTCTGGATAGACTTTCAATCCTCGATAGATTCTCAGCCCTGGATCCCGCATCGATCCTCAACTGCAGATCCTGGATAGACCCTCAGTTTTGAATCTGGGATAAGTCTTAATCTCTAAGTCCTGGCCTCCTTAATAAAAAATAAAAACCTGATCCCTCTCCTGCCACAACCCACGTCCACCAATTGTCCCTTAAGCAGCAGGCCTAAGAAGACTCTCCATCATCACGACAACTGTTCCCCCGCACACCGTTCCGTCATGTCTGACGCGGTAGCAGCGGTCGCGGTGGAGTGCAGAAAGAATCATCATGGTCAGGGATCGAGTCAAAGGTCGAGCATTGAAAGTGTGAAATCAGAGCCAGAAGTAGGAGAAAGGAGTCTCCCCCACCAACGGTCATGGCCGGCACACGTAGAGGCGCTTGGAGACCTCTGTCAGGAACTGCTGGAACCTCTGGAAGAGGGCGAACATCACGATGCGGCTGTCAGAGGATCCGTGCAACGAGGTCGCGTGTTTCACGTGCGATGGCAAACAAGGCCAACGTGATTGAGACTTCTCGTCCGCCTCCTCCTTTTCCACCTCCTCCTTCCGATGCTTCTCCACCTCCGAGTGTTTATCATCCGCTTGCGGCCGCCGCCGCCGCTGCTGCTGATGATGATTTGTTCGCCGCCACTGCTCCTCTTCGGAAGTCGCAGTGACGTTCCTCACGTCCGCGATCCCGGCCTCAGTATATTGTTCCCCTCTTAAATGATTCAGCGTGGGCGCCGTCGATGCCGCGCTGGTGCCGGCCACCCACGCTGCCGCCGTCTCCGTCCGATTCCCGACTCCCGGAGCCTCCGTCGCGACCACCACGGAGTCATTTGCGCTCTCGCCACCGCTCTGTGCCTTCACCGTCTTATTTTCCGTCTGCTGCTGCTGCTCACCCTCCTTCCTTCCCACCGCCGTCGTCACCTCCGCCGCCGCCGCCTCCACATCGCCCTGCTCCTCCCCGCTGCGGGGGGGCGGGAACGGCGTGTCCTCCAGCAGCGCCACGACGGCGCGGCAGACGACGCGCACCTCGGAGCCGTCGGGCAGGTGCGCCCGCTCGCACAGCGTGGCGATGAGCGCGCTGTACAGCGCGAAGGCGCCGCTCAGGTGGGACGGCGACGGGACCGCCTCCGCCCGCCGCACGCAAGGCTCCGCCGCGGAGAGGACGGCCACGTGCTCCGAGATCTCGACGTCGGCCATCCCTTTCTGCGTGTGACGGCGGCGGTGGCGGCGGTGGCGGCGGTGGCGGCAAACAAACAGAACATAAATGATGAGCAGGGAATTTGTTATTTTTTACAACATACAAAGGCGACGTGTCTGGTGGTGGTGGTGGTGTCCTGCGGCTGGGCACGTAGCCAAACGAGTGCGCTGCCTGCATCCTCTATCTCTTTATCGTCTCCGTTTGCAGCTGCTCGCCGCCGCTGAGACACGCCGTTTTTTGTGCCGCTGCTGTATCCGCAACTTTTTCTCCCCCCCCCCCCCCCCCGCCTGTGCTCTGTCAGTGCGGTCAGCTAATTTGCGAATGGCCCGTGGACTGAAATAGTCATTTCCATAGGAAAGGATTAGCAAAAGCCCGAGCTAAGAAAATCCATATTACCGCACTTTTTTTTGAAACGTTTTGCAAATGGCTTTTAAGAGTTGGACTTCCTTTAGACCATGGTAGACTTGGGAAAATCTGGTTGCTGCTGCTGCTCCTAGTGACAGCTTCCAATCAGATCACATAAGGAGGTCACATGATTACCTGAGGTTGCGTGCTCTGTTGACCAATCAAACTCAGTTTGATTGTTCTGCACGGGCTCGGACCAATGTATCTCCCGACTGATCTGCCATACGACTGGGGTTCATACGCCAATCTCTTCAGAGCAGGACCTACGACCACTCTGCAAGCCTCGGCTCTTGCGCTCGACGCTGGGATTCGGGCCTTCTCAAGTGATCCAGCATGCTACGAGCCTCAGTGTGTTTAGGAGGGAGTGCAAGACTCACTATTTTCTCACGGCTATTACTAAAACTTACTTTTGTCTTTGAATTTTATTTTAGTCGACAATGTTTCGATACTCCCTTGAGTGGAGGTGATGTCACATTTAAAATAAATACGGTTACGGTTTACGATAGCAAACGTTGTTTTCATAGGCTCGGCAAACTTAACGTCACTCTATGCCACCACCGTACCTAGTTGCCATGGTTTCTTGGAGTGATCACGTTGCTGGTGATGACTGCTGGCAATGACTGCCCTAAAATTGCCCTTGTGCATCATAACCTTGAGCAAGGCTGCATCACTGTAGAATGCGATTCCCCTTGGAAAGTTTAACACGTAAGCTTTCGCGAGCAATATTGTCCATAATAAAAAAAAACAAATGTGGGTTGGATTGCGTGAATGTAAACGTGTCGTTAAACCTGCCACCACTTGACACAGCCAATTGGTAAGGTTTGTCACGTAAACAAAACGTGGCAATTAGTTACTACTTCACACCGGTGTGCTGCAGAGTAAACACACAACATTCGCCATTCGAGTACAGCGCTTCACCAGTGATTACAACCAGCTTCATCAGGCGATAGCCAGATTCGTACAAAAGTCCTCCCATTTCGGTGATGTCATCACTATGGGCCTATCAGGTGCGAAGTGATGTCATCATTTCGCACATTCACTGGGGATGGTGGCGTTGCATTTGCAGTCGTGTCTGACTGCCAGGGAAATTGTCCATCCGTCTCTCTCCATGTCTGCCCCGTTTGTTTCTTTTCACGTCAGTTTTCAAGTTTTATTCTCTCCCACAGTCTTTTTTCCCCGACTGGCAGACGAATGCCCTGGATAGCTCTTGCAAGCGAGACTCATCCTGGTCCCTTCGAGTTCTCACCGAGACAAACAACATCAACTAAGCTGAACTCTGCATGTACGACCCTGCATCTAAGCCTCTGTCTGTCTCTCTAAACTTTTAAATATCCGCCCGATTTGAAGCCAGAACTGATTTTGCGCGGCGTCTCAGATATGAAGTCGAGGCGGGTAAGTTACTGTCTGAAATTAGGGCCAAACCCGTTCGATGATATCAGCAGTTTTTGTTGTTGAAATTTCATCACGAGTTTCAACGTCCCGTTTCACGTTTCCCCTTTCGGACGCGTCCGCCGGGGTTTCGTGGCCGTCGAGACCGGCAGCATGACTCGGCGTCGAGTCCGGCGATGAGTACGAGGAGTCATGCCGAAGGCGTGACGGTTCACAAATTGGAGCCCAGCAGCACAACATTGACCTCGTGCCAAGGCCACACCCCGACATTTAAATAAATAATCATCGGTTTAGAACATAAAATAGATTAACAACCATTGGCTGTGGTCTGACCCGAATAGTGTTGGTTTGACCAAAATGAGTTCCTAAATGGTTTATCTGCCCACAATTAATAGCTGGAAACATCTGCCACAACCGCACATAGTTTCACCGCGACCACAAATATCCTCCCCACAAATCTTTTCACCATAAATGTCTCTCAGCCAGATGTGCCCTTGCTGCGATGAATTCCCATCTTCATGCCCACCTGCCTCCAACACTCTTACAGCGCAGGACACAATCCTACTGCCACTGATCTCACAAAATAAGTCTGTCCCACCAATAGTCCAAACCTAAAAACAGTGATAAAACCAGTTTTTTTTTTTATTTTACCAGGTAAGGCCCACTGGGCCACGTAGTTCTTTTTCAGAAGCGACCTGGCTGTCACAAATTATAGCCCAACGAAGTGGCCTGCCCCGTGTGGACATGTATAGCAGCAGCAGCAGCAGAATACTCTAAAAGCACGTTTCTAAACATTACGCCTGATCAAAAAATCCTCTCGTCGCCCACCCCTTCTGTCCCAACTCTGCCGACCAACGGCATCGGTAGTCAGCGACTGGCAAGCTGGGGTCGTGGTGGAGGGTGAAGATTTTAACGGAGATATTGTGAAAGTTTATGGCTGTTTGTAGTGGTGTCGGGGGTCAAGTTGGCTCAGCGGTAGCGCGAGCGTCTCACAATTGGAAAGTTACAAGTTCAAATCCTGCCGCTGTGGTCGCTAAAATACCTACAAATTTGTGAGGTTGAGCCAAAGGGTTGTTCTGTGGAATCTGGAATTTCCACCACTGGCTCAGGGCTGCTGCAAGCAGGCGATTGAGCAGGAAATCACTCTTGAGTGGTCACAGTACCGGCTCACACGCAAAGAGAAATATCCCCAATATAGCCTTGACAGACTGACGCAAGTGCTGTTAGCGAGCACCTGTCGCACACGCGCACACACAGAGTCACGTACACACACACTGCACTACTCACGAATGCCCGCAGAACCCGATCCGCGTTAAACTGCAGCAGCCCCATGTTGCCGCGGATGACCTTGTGCAGATCGGCCGATATGCACGGCTCCGACGAGGTGGATGAAGAGGACGAGGGAGAAGATGACGATGGCACGGAGGAGGCGACGGGCAGAGGGGCAGCGCGCGCTGCCAGGAGCGACAGGAGAAGCGCGGCGGCAACACCGAGCTGAGCGACGCGGGCTGTGCCCATGCTTCTTCTACCACCGGGGAGGAGGGGGGGGGGTCACGGGGGTCAGGTGGAGAGAGACACGAGGCGCAATGTCAGCGAGGCACACACGTCCCATCATTGGTGGCGGGCACGCACCAGGGGTCGCCATGTGTTGTACGTTGGAACTTCTTTCGCACCGTACGTAGCCAACCGCGCTAATCGGAGGTATTGTGGGCACGGGGCTGCAATGCGAAGCCAGTAGATAGCAGCGGCTGAATGCCCCCTCCCTCACCGCATGGTGGGTTTTCTCCGGTTTCAACATTCCTCGTGGTTCCAAATTCAAACGTTTTGGATTGTGGCTAGGTCGTGCGCTCAGGCTCGACTGTGCTAATTGTCATCTTTTTAGCCACGACAGAGATCGTTGCCGATCCTTTTGCGTCATTTGTAGGTGGCCGGGTGACTGGATTCAGGCAGCAGCGAGTGGTCTGTGCTCACACCAGCTCCACGGTGCAGTTCGTTCAGGATCCCAGACACCGATGACTGCACACGGACGTGTTTAGATAAAACGTGGGTCTGCACTTCATTTGGCTGAATTCCAGCTCCGAGAATTAAATACTGCTTTTAGTCCCATGCGACAGTGCTCCCCTCTCCTACTTGCGTGGACCAGACGTCGCTTGCAGGGATCTGGGAGGTAGCCCTGCTATATCCGCTTCTGCGGGTCATTTTTCTAAAGCATGGGTTGCACTGTTCTGTGAGAGACGTCGATGGCACAATCAGGACAAAATTGTGGAAACAATGAGAGTCGTTTTAAACAAAGATTCCCCCCCCCCACCCCACACACGCATACAAATTCGTATCAGTCACCGACTCACGGTCGTTGCGTACATCAGTATCGAATTGCATCACAACACAGACTTTCCAGCACGTGCGCGCGCACGCGCACGCACACTGCCACACCGGATGATGACGATGATGATGGCGGCGTGACAAGTTTGTCAAACAACGTTCCGAAGATAAACTGTCGAACGCGCACTATCTCTGACCGCGCAGTCTCCCCTCGTGTCTACGTGAGCCTCATTCAGTTGCTAAGCGAACATTGCAAGGCACAAACTAAATAAACGGACATCACTCCTCCTTCCTCCATGCGTCTCTCCGCATTTTTTTTTGTTGACAACCCTTCACGAGCCACTCACTGCCTTCGTCTTCGGGTACATCTTAGCAGCGCGAAACACAAGCAAACTTTAGGCCGGTGTCAAGTTCATCCGCGTCTCACCAAAGCAGCGCGGGACTTGCGTATGGCGTCGCAGACTTGCAAGCGCGTGCGCGCGCACGCAACCACTCCGGACGGCGGCGGTGTGACTCGTCAATCTATGGGTGTGCGCGGGTAACCCACCAACGCACACGCGGACCCTTGCACACAATCACGCCGTCTCCTGCCGTGTCGGCACGAGCCCCTGTTTTTCAGCCGGCATCGGCATCCCCGACGAACACCGTTGGGGCACGAGTTAAGAAGGAAACAGCGGCGGATTGATTGCAACGTTACAGAGCGCGAACGTGGCCTGGCGTTTGCGTTGAGCGCTGAGGATTGTACGATTGTTTTTGGACGAGGTGGTGGGGATGTTGTTGGGGGAGGGGGGTTTGGGAATGATTGTGAATGTTTTTTTTGGGGAGGGGGGGGAGAGTAGATCTGGGGCCTCGTGTTGAGTAGCCGAGGGGGTAATGAACGTTATTAATTAAAGAGGGGGGGGGGGCAGTGAAGGTTCAGCGCCAAGCTCCCCTCTCCTCCACCCTGCCAACGTCCACGAGTACCCGATGTTCCAATGCCCCTCCGGGACGCAGAGGCAAAGACAAAGGTCCCCCATACAGGCACAGCACGCTGGGGGCAAGTGCCGTTATCGGGTGCCTACTAAGGCCGTCACGGCGCACTAGAGGAAGTGTGGTCCAACATCACGCCCGGCCGCATTTGTCTCTCTACACACCGCACCTGGTGCTCATTTTAAGGCTGAGTCGACCGAGGGAAGGCCCAGGACCGGTTCAGATATTCGCCGCTGTTATTGCTCGTGAGTGGGGGTCGAACTTGGTTCGTCGGGGTTATAGTGCAGTGCGCTAACCATTGTACAGATACAAGATTCCCTTCATAGCCTTTAGGAGGCTGTCGGGGCAAGTGATGTGAGCGAGTAGCCTAAGGCCGCCACGGCACAGGATGAGGTGGCTGGCCAACACCACGCCCGACCACCTTTGTCTCCCCAGTGCTGATGATTTTGCACCACACCAGCGACTCACATCTAAGGCCGGGTCGAGCTAGATTTACATTGCACATAAACACGTGCAGCCATAAATACACACGTTCACGCGGCCATACAGATCGAGGGAATCTCACAGAGCGCATACACTTGCACAACGCATACAAATGCATACACAGGGATCGATACGTGCGCATGCAAACAAAGATGCCCCTGTAGCCTTCCACAGACTGTTGGGGCAAGTGCTGTTCGCCGCGGCTCGACGTGCACGCGCACGCGCGAGCCCGCACGTGTCCTGCCCAACATCCACGGAGGGCTGGGGTCAGCACGTGCGCGGCTCCCCCCCCCCCCCTCCTTCCCCACCAAACCAATAGAAGCACCGTCCAAAAAACAGCTTTGACTAAAGTCCCGAACCAACCCCCCAACCCCTTTGGGAGCTCTCCAACTGTTCCCAGTCCACAAGACCCTGAAACCCAGAGTCATGACACGTGCTTTGTCTATAAAGGATTGATCCCATGTGGCCATTCTCAATTTGTACTTCCACGTTTAAATTAAATGCATGTCTTGGCGACTCGCTTGACTCTTCTCCGTCTTATTCTGGTAGCCTCTATTGCACTTTTGCTGGTGATGTAATTTGCTCACCCACAACCCCGACTGGACATCTGTGAAAAAGAGCTTCATCAGATTCCTCCTCCAGGATCAATAAAGATTCCGATTCGATGGCCGTGCACGTGTCTGTGTGTGTACAATAACCTTAATAGGTGCTCGCTAACAACCCCCAACAGCCCATGTCAGGGCCACCCAGAGGTGATGGTCGTGGGGGTTGTGCAGGGAAAGGGTCAAAGAGGAAATGTTCTCAAGGCCTAGCACAAGAGAGGGCCCCACAACGGCCCGGCGCATGGTGGAATAAGGGAGGGGGGGGCACGTGGCATTCTGACCTCTTGACCTCGAAACGGCTGTGGTCTGTGAAAGCTGCATGGGGGATCTCCGTCTACGAAATATGTTCGTGGGGTACGTAGTTGTATGTGTGCGTGTATGTGTTATGAGGGTTTTATGTGGAGCAGTAGTGTAGCAGTTAGCGCTACGAACCCGGTGAACCGAGTTCGATTACCGCTCACGGCCAACACCAATTGACGATTATCTGAACCGGTCCTGGGCCTCTTGCCCTAGGTCGATTCGGCCTCAAAATTAGTACGTAGTGCGATCTGTAAACATTGCCACAAGGGAGACAAAGGCAGCTGGGCGGAGTGCCTTCATAGGTGTTCGCTAAAAAGCACTTGCCCCAAAAGTCTGTAACGGCTACACGGGTGATCATTGTCTTATGGTAGTTTTAAAGTCACGTGGCTGGCGTATGTATCAGGTAGTCACCGCTCGACCTAGCGAAGGCCCAGAAAAGGTTTAAGGAGAGGCGCGACTCGCCACTACGATGTCAGAGCCGTGGCCCAGGAATCGAACTCCCTCCCGGTGGCCAGCCTGGTGGGCTTGGCATGCTGCAACATCTGCGACATGCAGGCCCGCCGCCGTGTGTGAGAATGCGCGTGCGTGTGACAACATCAAGGTTGAAAAGTAGGTCAAACTCCCCAACCCCCGTTGAGGGCAAAGACCCTAAACCGCAATGGCCCGAATAGTGCAATATTGAGTAAGACTAACTCCAGGGGTATATCTTTGTGAGGAGGAGTGGAGGGGGAGAGAAACGGGGGGTGGGTGGCGCGTCCCCGTCACGTCTCCCACGTCCAGTAACGGAAATGTCACGTTTCCTCTGCACATCCACTGCTAGATGAAGACCTCCGCGGGATATCGCGGAAACGGGGGGGGGGGGGGGGGTGGGGGGGGGGGGTACTGGTTTAATTATACTTGGCCACGCTGATCTGTGTCGGTTTGGTGGCCCTAGGAAAAGTCACCTCCTAGGACCGGTTCCGGCTGTCACTGCCAACTGATGCTGACCGGGAATCGAACCCAGTTGGTCCGGTCGACAGCACAGTGAGCTGGGCACTTTGCGTTTGAATCGTGAAACTGAACCGCGCAAACACGTGGACTCAGAGTCGCGTGCGTCGTCGCGCGCCCATCATCCTTCCTAGGTCGATAAAGTCGGGGCGATTGCATTGCCCCTGGGGTGGCCTCGGGGGAGCGACTTCTCCGATTTCCTCTCGCAGGAAGCCAAAACACGCGTTCAAGGATTTGGCCAAACAATCGCGGTGTAGCAGCACCCTCGTGGCAAGCGAGTCTCGAGACTCGGCAAGGCGGTTACAAGGCGAAAATTAACAACGCCCGCATGAGACAAAAATTACAAAAAGTGTGAACCTTGCGTTGGCGGTGATGCGCTAATGTAAAAAAAAAAATCACGGCACATTGGTCGATAACACCGCCCTGAACGTGAACACAAACGCCGTTATTGAGGGAACGTGTCCACATCTCGATTCCCATACAAGCGTCTCAATCAACGCTTTCGGTACCCGCGCCGGGGGAGTCGATCTGCCACGACTCCCATCCCTCCATGTCACGCGGCACCTTCAGAAGAGGGAGGCGATGTCAGGGGAGGGTTGGCGGCAGGGGGGGGGGGGGTTGAAGGGACACCGTGGGAATGGCGAGCGATGTGGTGAAACCCCGCGACTCTGATCATTCTCATCTTCTCTACCCACACCTCTTCCTCCTGCTGCCCTCCACCCGAGACGACTCTGCCGCTATGCGCCACCTCCCTCTTCCACGAACCTTCCCCCGTCCGACCTACCCCCCCCAAACCCGAACCTGGACTGCAATCCTCAAGCTGCCGACAGGGAATCCCGAGCAAAAGAGTCCGACCATCTGT